AGAGCAGTTTTATATATTATATGTAGTAAGTGAAACTGTAGCCGGGGGATAAAACACATATCCTATAAAATCTGCTCAACGGTGGTTTATCGGAAAAGGCTTCGGATTGGTGATACCTCTTCCAAGTCAGGGAGGATAAAGCCCTCAAAGTGAAAGATTCACTTTAACTAAAAACATGCTGGTACCATTAGAGACATAACAGACACAGAAATATAGTACAATAGGATTTTAACAAAAATAGCGGTAAAGCAGGCAAGTTATGCCTTCTTATTATAAGGGACAGGATGGGAAAATCATCCCAGTCTTTTTGATGGGGTTGCCACCCTTTGAAGAGTGTGTTCTCTCAAAAAGGTAGAAGCAGGTGTCACAGATGCAGACACTGTGGATGTTGATGTGCCTGCAGTTGTTGATCCCATACATAGCTGTCTGATGGATTGATCTGATGAACTCCTGTCCCATTTGATAAATAGTGAAAGTGACTCTTTACGTAGCTCTTGCAAGTGACTCTATAGGAATATGTGGTACAGATTCTGTCCTGCCTCCTAGTTTGCATCAATTGTGTGGCTGAGATTTCTACCCAGATTCAATAGCTGGGTTTCTGTAGTCCTAATACTGACAACGTTAAAGGCAGTGGAAAGTTAAGTACTGATTTAAAGCATATCAGTAGGAAGGAGGATCTGTACTTACCACTTTCCATTTCTTCACTTAGAGAATGGCTTAGAGTGTTTCTTACACTTGTGCATTTGGTTTAATCGAGAAATATCACGAACAAATGAACCAGACAACAGACAAATATGTTTGTTTGCTTTGTGATAGAGTTTCATCCCTGGCATCAAAAGGAGAGAGAGATGAATGATAGGGAAAAAAAGTAGATTTATGTTTAGGGAACAGCCATTAAATGTTGAGTAGTGACCAACAGAGGAAAAAAGGATGAACAGTAAAAATAAATAAATCTATATTTATATAGTTATATATTATATAGATAATAAATATACAATATATAACAATATAAATATAATTGTTTTTTTACTGCTTATTCTCTTTTCCCCTCTATTACTTACTTTTTTCACTAGATCTGCCAACCAATGACACAAAAAAGCCCCTATTAGTGTACTGGATTATATATATACATAATATTTATTATTTTATACTGATTGGCTCATTTTCATGCAATATTGGTTCATCCACATAGTTTTACTGAATATTTAATCTAGACGATATTTGAACAAGCCATATCATTACATTCATAATTATCTGACTATTCAAACTTTTTTTTTTTTTTTTTTAGGATGAAGTGATTTGCTCTTACAAAATATTTCTCTGTGCACAAGTCTAGTGTTTTCTGACAATGAAAACTAAATACACTTTATTTTAAAAAAAATATATAATTCACTGTTTGTGGTTCTGTTATCCTGTGTTTGTGAATTACCCAAGATATTATGTCAGTAAAGCCTATGAGTTTGCACCGTAAACATGATCCAAATGATTGATAAAAGTGCCAAAAGAAAATATAGAAAATATATATTTTTTATTTAATACCTCCCAGTTATCTTTCTTCTGTGTATCGATTCATTATCTGCTTCTAAGTCTTCCTGTAGCTTATTTTATCAGTAAACCGTAGCATGAAAAAAATACTAACTTTATACTGGACTTGAAGACTCATTTTGATCTGTACTGCAATTTGCTCGAATTTGGGCAGATTGGGATATCCGTCAAATTCCCAAACTGCAAGCTGAAATGTAGCTGAATCATAAACCAACAGACATGCGCAATTGAGGAGCAAATTAATTTTGATTTCTGATTCTGAATTCACCCTGAGAGAGAGAAAAAATATTTACAGTCACTAAATGTTGATTTTAGTCACAGTTCAAGTGAGAAGTGACCAGGAGAGGTACAAAATAAAGGAGCAGTAATACAATATCTATATTTATTTATTTATCAGTACTGCTCCTCTTGTTTAGAAAATTGGGCAGACTAGATGGGCCGAATGGTTCTTATCTGCCGTCACATTCTATGTTTCTATGTTTCTATGTTTACCTCTACTGGATACTTTTTCTTACTAACTCTGTGAACTAAAGGCTGGGCAAATGCTGCTATCAGTGTACTGAAAAAGATACACGTAATATTTACAGAATTTCTGCACTTTAGGTTTGTCTGGTTCATTTCCAAAATCAGTTTTCGGTATTGAGATTCTGTAGAGATGTACCGGCATATGGCCGAAATTTGTTTTTTTTTTCGGGAGAAAACGTTTGAGCAAACAGAATTTTATCACCTTACATATATTTTTCACACATGCATACATATATAAATATTTTTTTTTTGGTTCCTGCAATAACAATTTGTTCACTTATTCGTTCACAAATGAATCATGGCACAACCGACCTCGTAAAACTCTCCGAAAGATGACAGAGTATTTGGAAAGTGTGTTTCTACGGTAAATGTTGTGATTGTTAATTAACTTTAAAATAGTTTATGTATTTTCTTCATAATTCCTATTATATATTATCTTCTTATTGTCTTGTATATGTTTGTAAAATATCAAACAAATGTCAGACATATGTAGAATTACAATACCTGCTTTGAACTCTGTGTACAGCTGTGTGATTATCTGCTCAAGCAGGTTCTCTGTTGATTTTCTATTGGAATATTCAATTAGAAATCATAGTTTCTGTTATTACCTCTGCTTAATCATTAATATTTATAAATCACACCCTATGTACAGACTATATAAGCATATAGAAGGACTAAAATAGCTATTTATGGGCAATGATGTAGTAGGCAATATAATGCCATAAAACTATTGCAACATAACCAATTTTCAGGCCCTTAGGGCTTTTCTAATTGATGTCAAAGACAACTGCCAAAATTTAGGAACCATTCCTCCTAAACCTGTTAAACTCATTTTTCCATATGGGTCATACGGTTGCTAGCTGATCTTTCTCATTCCCAAATAACCATAGTGTGTAACTAAATACAGTCATTAACTTGTATGCCTCAATCCTAGCCTCCAGACTGAAATATTTAATGCTGAACCTATCAGACTAAACTGGTTTTATCATTGAAACACAAGTTTTGGACAACACAGGGAAAACCATGCATATTTGACATGCATCCAACAATGTAAATGTTAACTACCCTTGTTTTCTGCTTAAATCAAACGGGTATTTGAAAGTCAGGAATCTATTATGACACTACACAGCTCCGGATCAACAGTTGTCTGAAATGCAAGTTTTAATCCATTTCATATTCTTAATATATGACATCAGAGGGGCCCACTATGAATGTTAATACTCATCTTTTTCATTTGATGCACTTACCTTCAAGGAATACCCCAGGCATTATAACCACAACATTCCTTTGTAGTAGGTATGATGAAAAGAATGCCCTAGTGCCCACCATTTTAGAATTTTTTGACAACTTACCTGGGTCCGCCAGACACCTGTGCCACTTTTGGTAATCTGTTGCAGAAGACGACAGATGACTCCCTATTGCTAAATTTGGACATGATGCTTTAGTTACAGTTTTTACACGAATTAACCTGACTGGATAAGGTAGCTTTGTTCAACCATAGCTTCTGTTCGGGAAAGTGTATTTCCTTAAAGCACAACTATCACCTTAAATTCATTTTTTTTTTATATTATAATACTTTCAACACATTTTGAAAGGAAATAGGTTTTTCTTTAAATGGAGTATATGTAAAAAAATGAGAAACTCATCTCTACCTTTATTATATGACATGATTCCTCATCAATATACCTGAACCTTTGGTAGGACAGTGTATACAAAAAACAACAGTTAGTCTCTATGGTCTTCCCTGCTTCTGTGAAGCAGGGAAGACCATAGAGACTAACTGATGGTTTTCATTGTCCGAACAATGTATATGGCTATAGAATCCTCTCATATACTTAAGGTGTTTTTTGCATTCCTTTACATTTACTTCATTTAAAAAATTATATATTTCGTTTCAAACCTTGATAAACAGATTATTATATTAAAAAGCGTTTTTTAATGCAATAATGAAATTAATTTACTTTACACTTACTCTTGAAATATTCAATGATATGTGGAATTACTAGCAATACATATTGTAATTATAGCTTGATCTATAATAAGGAAATCTCAGAATAATTTCTCCGCTATATATAACTCTATGGCAAATTCAAACAATATTTGAAAAGATATCCTGTTTAAGTTTGAAGATACTATAGCCTTATGGTTCAATGCAAACAAAAAGTTACCTTAATTAAGTTAGTAGGAAAACAAAGGAATATCTCTTATCATTTTCTATTTTCTGCTCTCTACTCTCATTTTATTTTTAATGTAGTCTAGATCTTCTTTATTTGTTTTGTCCACTGTAAAAATATTTTTTTATAAATGATAATGTCATGTCATTCACATGTTTTACTTTGCTTTGCATTGTACAACATTATGTTTGGTATTACACTACACTGTGTTTTGCCTAATGCCACATTGAGTTTTGTATAACATTATATTACTACATTCAAAATAAGTAAACAAATATTATATCTGCAGATGACTTTTAGTCAAGTGAATAACCCAATGTATTAATACAGTCAAAGGAAATATATTTTTTATTAGTTACAAGCATGTTATCATTTCCTTTCTGTCAGCATATCTGATTGTTAAACAATATGATCTAGAACATGGCAGATGGGCAAAAAAGGTACAGAAAGTGAATAGAAATTTATTTTGGAGAAAAATGCAAAGAAATTTTAATTTATAATTTTTGTTGTTCTAGTGGTTGAATTCATTATCTATTTAACATCTTCATATCTCAGTCATTCTATAAGCATGCACAACTTCACAATTTAAAGGGTTACTAGTAAATATTTGTTGTGCATGTTTATTAAGGTAGGAGTGGTTCCCTTAGGGTTGTGATGGTGTCAGCCTCTTGACCTCTGATATCTATATAAATACCTGTCCATGTGTAATGTTTCAAACACTAAGGATCAGAAAGAGAATCCTTTCATCTAGCTACCATGCAGCTGACCAAGACACTGATGCTGATTGTAGCTGAATGGACCATTTGCCTGGCTTTACCTGTGCAGGTATGTTTATGTATGTGGGAGCAGAATAGATTTGGGTGATTTACATATCCCATACTGCTATCATGCAGCTATCACTGCTATCAATACAGAAAACATTAATGTTTATTTGTTTCCCCACAGGTCAACAACAATGCAAATAGTGGTAAGTATAAAATTAATACCTAGACCTGTATAGTTAATTATTAATATGGTGCATTTTAGTTAGTGATGTTGGGATCTTTCATGATTCTTTTAAGGTATCAGTCATAAGAATTACCATTTTCTACTGTTTATTCAGTCAGAGATTTCAGATCACAATGTTAGAAAAGGGTAAGTTTCGGGATCTAAGCTTTTTTTTTTTTTCTCTTTTCTCCGGAAAACTATCAATGATCTACGTAAAGAGAATAAAACAGCTTTTGAAATGATAGAAGCTGCAAACAAAGGTGAGATTTAAAAAAAATACTCCAAGCTTTCTGACAAACGTATGTTTTTAAGTGAAATTTATACTGCTTATCATAGGAGTGTGTTAAAGACAATTGTATCTAATAAATAATATGACAAAATAGATGAGATGCATGGATTCAATAGCTAGTGAAATTTGGGTGTGATTGATCTCATTATTATTTTTTTCATCATTGAAACTAGAAAATATGTACGTTATGTAATTACACTATAAACATATTCTCTATATTTTGTATCATGGAAAGCAATATGACTTCTTTATAATGTATCAATTTGGGAATTTGGATATCAAATAATGTTTAGTTAGTTAGGCATCAACTTTAGGTTCACATATAATCTGTTAGAAATTCCCTTTTAGGAAAAAAACAAAACACATATGTTTTGCTATAAAGTATTCATAGAAAATTCACACTACATAAAATTTCCAGCTGTATAGTATATTAAAATCAATCACCATTAGCATCTACATCATGGAAGCCAGGAACATATAGAGATACAAACAATGTTTCCTTCTCTCCTCTTTACTTACACTGTTTTCTCTGGCTTTGCCTTGTCTGGCCAGGATTATAGGTGATTTTATTCAAAGATGTTAATTCCAGAGAAGTAACAGTTCTCCTTTAACGCTTAACCCCTCCAATACCCAAATAAGTTATAAACATATTATTTTCATGTATTTTGCAAAATGAAATCAAGTCCATAAAGCACAACTCATCCTCATTTATAGTTTAGACCTGATTACCAGCCTATATAGAAATTGATTTATCTGCCAGCAGCCACTAGTCATTGATGTAATGCCTGTAAATTTTCAGAAAATATAAATTAATTGGATGCTTTCAAAAAGTGAATGCAATTTTAATGTGTCATATTATTTCTACAGTTAGGGTGGGGGTGGGGGTGGGGGTGGAGTTAATAGACTCTCCCAACTGCTAATGACTGCTATAAGAAATACATTATTTAACTATATATACCTTATGCCAAAATACACCTGTTCTTTTTACATTCTATTGCCATTTTTACTAATCTATACTGCTAGCAATGCCTTCAGGGTCCTTAAAAAAACATTCGCAAGGTATTTTACTATTTTTATTTATCTATTTTGTCATGTCTACTGTATGTGTGAAGTTTACATTTTTGGTTTTATGCTAACTTTTAAGACCTTTTTTGAAATATTGCAAGATAAAGGACACTGCATCCTGTCCAAAGCTTTTAATTTCCCCCCTTTTTTTTTTATAATTTACTTATTTTTTTAAAGGAACACTATTGTGTTAGGAAAACAAACCTCTATTCTTAATGCTATAGTGTCCCTCTCCCTAGCTCTAAATAGCCCCCTGGCTTGTTTGGCATAAAAATGTATGTCTTATTCTCCTTTTTGCAGCACAGAGGCTTCTTAGGAGCTGCTCTCCTCTCCTCTTCCCACGTCATTATTGAGGAAGCATGGCCTCCATTGGTGAGGTCCAATCCAATGTTACTCATAGAGGAGCATTGGGGACCTAATACACATGAGCGTTAAATCAATCCTTTTCTATTTGGTTTCCCCATCACTGTCTGTGTGGCAGAAGCATTTCTAGTGGTTGTCATTCTGACAGACACTAGAGCTGGACTTAACTTTGCAACATAAACATTGCAGTTTCTTAAAAAAAAAAAATTGCAGTGTTTTACAATGTCAAGTTAAGAGAACAGGTACACTGCACCCAGACCATTTCATTGAGATGAAGTATACTATAGGGCCCATTTAAGTTTATCTGTACAAAAGTGTTATTATATGCTTATATGCAAGCTATGCATCTCGTACCTCAAATAAATGTTATGCTAATATGTTTTTTTTATCAAAAATGTATTGGTAGTGAAGGACTGTTTTATGAAACTGATCCATTTTAAATGTAGGAATTGGCAGAACTCTAATTGATGGGAATGTTAGCTTTAAACTTGCATCTTAATATTTTAAAAATAGTGCAGAATTCCTGCTAATGGTTGACACTATTAAGAAACAAAATACTAAATAGAAACAAGAACTAGAATCATTTAGCTTATCAATGTGCTCACTACAGGTCCAGATTAAGATCCAATGGGGCCCTATGCAGGTTACCAGTTTGGGATCCCCCTTTATTTACATAGTTAATTAGTTACATATTAACATAGCTGAAAAGAGACTTGTTTCCATCAAGTTCAGCCTTACTCACAGATGTTTTTGCTGTTGATCCAAAAGAAGGCAAAAATCCCAGTCTGAAGTGCTCCCAATTTTGCAACTAACTAGGAAAATATTAATTCATGACCCCAAAATGGCAGTCAGATATCTCATTGGATCAAACAGCTATTACCCCACTAATTAAAACAAATATATCCCTGTATGTTATGTTTTTGCAAGTATTTTTCCAATTGCTGTTGAAACATCTGTATGGACTCTGATAAACCACATCTTCAGGCAGGGAATTCCACATCCTTATAGTTTTTACTGTAAAAAAAAACATTTTCTTTCCCTAAGATTAAATCTCCTTTCCTCCAGCCTAAATGCCTGACCTTGAGTCCTATGTATAGCCCTGTTTATGAATAGATATCCAGATAATGGTTTGTACTGGTCCCGAATATATTTGTATAATGTTATTATATCCTCTCTGAGAGATTTAAATTGTTTAACCTTTCTTCATAACTAAAATGCTCCATTCCTTTTATCAATTTTGTAGCTTGTCTCTGCACTTTTTCTAGTGCCATGATAGAACCTTCTTTAGAACAGGTGCCCAAAATTGCACAGCACATTCAAGGTGTGATCTTACCAGCGATTTATAAAAAAGGAAAATTAATCTTACAATGAACTCAATTCAATCATGCCACACACTCCTGGTTCCAATGTCTGTCAATGTCACTTTTCATAAACACTGACTCATACAAACACATTCATTGACACACACTCATTGGCACACAAAAACTGCCACATACACATATACAGATTCACACACAAAGGCACACACTCACAGTCAGAGGTGTAACTAGGAATCACAGGTCCCCAGTGCAAGAATCACAGAAGGGCTCTCACTGACACACATACATTGACATACACTCATTGACACACACAGTAATTGTTACCAGTGTTTAACCAATACACATTTTTAGTCACAGAAACACACTCACTTACTGACAGCACACTCACCTACTGACAGACAAACACACTCATTGACAGACACACCACACTCACTTACTGATAGACACACACAAACTCTCACTTATTTGACACTCATTGACAGAAACAAACACTCACTAACAAACACACTCATTGATCTGACAACACTGACAGACACACTTTAACTGAAAGACACACACTCTATTGAAAAATACAGTCACTGAACCACACATACTCACACTGACAGACACACAGTAACTGACAGACACAAACTCTCACTGAGAAACACACTCACTGACAGACACATATTCTCACTGATTTGACACACACTGACAAACACACACACTAACTGACAGACAGACAGACACTCATTCATTTACTTATTGACAGACACACACTCTAATTTGAAACAGACACACTCACACTCACGGTGACCTAGGTAGTCCGGCCACTGGCTCCTACTAAATAGAAGTCTGAACAAAATCTAATTTGAACCTAATTAGATGGTCACAAAACGCTTGACAGCTGATATTTGATTAAAAGTTCAAATCAAATGCTTTTAATGAATTCTCTCAACACTAACGAGAGTATGATCAACTTTTGCCATTACAGTGGGCTGGCCTTCAAATAGATTACCTACACATCATGGTCCTTTACAGGCACTTGAGAAATCCAATGTAATTCTCTTTAAATGCTTGTGTTTACAATAAAATATTAGTCAGCAGACCCAGAAATACCTGTACCCTGCCCCTTAGCTCACCAATTTACACAGATTAGAATAAAACATGTCTCTCACTATGTAATGGGCAAGCAATGAAACAAGGTGGGTAAAGATTAGACCCACAAGCTTTTGTAGAACTGCAACTCTCTTGAAGCTTTGACATCCTGATGTGAGCATCAGAAAGTTGCAGCTTTGCAACAGCTGGGGAGAAGGGGGACCACTTTGTGGCCACCCTGTCCAAACGTAGCCATTGTAATGAACACAGTACAGGCATAAGAGGTAGCTCAGGATTGCAGTGAATCATTGCTGTATGCACTTAATGCAGCCCATATGCAGGCTACAAAACACTTCTGGCTCTCTAACTTGCATGGCATTCTACCCAAATAAGAAGAGTAAAGAGTAAGATCAGGCTGTCTGACCCCAGACCCCTGCCTCACTGTCCATTAGACAGAGGTTTTCTAATTAATCTATAGGGACACCAGGTATGTTCACAGTAAAACACTGAAATAACTCCATAGAAGGGTACTTTTAAGGTTCCCACATTCTGATATATGCCTTGTCCTCATACCATGACGATCTGCCCAGAGTGGGGGGAGACTTACGTGAATTAAGTCACTTAGATGTGGAGTGATCAGTTATTGCCAGCCCTGTCCCTCTGCCTGCACTGCAAGTCTTCCTAGTCTGACTTTCCCTGCTGTCAGTGCCCTCTGGCTGCAGGACTATCACACAACGTATCAGTATGGTCCCAGGGTGGCCAGGCCTCATGGAGTGAAGGGCCTGGTCACAGTTGCAACCCCTGCAACCTCAATAGTTCCGCCAGTGCTCACAGTACAGACGCTGACCTACAAACACATATACTGACACATATGCACACACTTACAGTACAGACACTGACCTAAATACACAGATATTGACCCATACACACTGACATACACAATCACTGACACTGACATATGCAAACACAGATACTTTTCCATACACACACATCCATAAACAGTTCACACACAGTACAGACACTGACCTATACACACACTCACACACACACACAGTACAAACATTGACCCCTACACACACCTACACATACTGACACAAACTGATAAATATACACTAACAAATGCACACACATACACTAACATACAGACACTGACCCATTCACACACTCACTCACACAGATGCACAAACTTACACACATTCACTGACCAATACACCTAGACATTCATATACTGACACACAATAAATATCCTGTACATACATATATATTATATAATATATACACTGTGTTATATGTTTATATGCTAGGTATGCATCTTGTGCCTTAAATAAATGTTATGCTAATATTTTATCTTTTTTTTTACTTGCTATTTGCATAACATGTACTAATCCATATTCCATATTGCATCATTCACAAAGTCTATTTTATGAAATTATGCCATTTTAATTTCAGGTATCAGCAAGCCTCTAGTGCATGGAGACATTGTTATTAATACTGGCCGGAGTGTGAAGAATTGCGTTGATTGCTTCTGGCCTGTATCACAGAATGGAATGGTCCTTGTTCCTTATGTTATATCCTCAGCATACAGTAAGTTGTTCACAATGTTTGTAGGTTTACTAAAAATATTTTAAGTTTGGTAACAACATCTCACTTGTTTCTTATCTCCTCAGCTGACATTTACAAATATATTATTACTGAGTCCATGAAACAGATGGAACTCATGAGCTGTGTGAAGTTTGTTCAGAGATCAACAGAATGGGACTATATCAGTATAGAGTCTGGAAGTGGGTGAGTTAAAGTAAATGGCAGACTGGCCAGAACTCATTAATTGAAATTACAGCCTGGAAACACTGAACAGGGTCAGGTTTGGTTGGCACACTTGGTGGCCTGGACTACAAATTCCATGATGTTAATCAATTCATCAAGTATGTCCTGGTCAACATCATGGGAGATCTATGTGTGAAGAGTGTGTTCTTTTTTCATTTTACAAAAAGTGCAGATTTCAATAGAAATTGACCTTATTCAATAGAAATGGACATATAAGAGCTTACACCTCTTTGGCTCTCATTTAGACAACCAGTCCTGTTACTTCCTAGTTGTTTAGCTCAGTTGAACTAAACTCACGATGCAGGCAATTGCTCAGAGCACCCGTCTTGAAAAAAACTTCTCATTGAACTGCATTGGGAAGTCTGTAATTGGGCAGCCACAGAAAGTCTGGGTGGAGTTAGGACGGGAGTGCTCGCAAAGCTGAAAATCTAAAAGCAGCTTTTGCAAGCTTAATTTTTAGATATAAGCCCAATGAAAACATGCATAAACTGCATGTATGTTTTCATTGGGGTATACCTACTAAGCAGTGATTACTTTGTGTATTTGGGCAGTGGAGTCTCTATTTTAAACCCATAACTAATTTATTTACACAATTTCTTAGGTGCTCTTCAGGTGTAGCAAGGCAAGGTGGCAAACAGACAATCAGCCTGTCAATGTCAAGCTGCATGGCTACTGGATCAATCCAACATGAACTGATGCACTCACTGGGATTTTACCATGAGCAGAGCAGGACTGACAGAGATAACTATGTTGAAATCAGGTGGCAGTATATCACAGAAGGTGAGTATTTCACGAGTATATGCAAAATCAAAGACCAGGACCAATCAAACCATAGATTTTTTATAAATTAGATGACTAGTGAAGGGATGTTGGCTGACAAATCTATTTAATAGTCTATAAACTACATCGGTCAATACTATCCTTGTAAGATGAATAATAACTGTTATAATTTTTTTTTTTTTTTCAGGTAAACAGGGCAACTTTATTATTGAGAATGCAAACAACATGAGTCTTCCTTATGATTATGCATCAGTCATGCATTACCAAAAGTGAGTACACTCTATGAACATGATCAACTTTGGCTATTATTATAATGTTATTGTCTTTTTTCTTGGCTAATGAAAATTGTCCCTCTCTCTACAGTACGGCTTTCACTAACACCCCTGGTCAAGCTACTATAGTTGCAAAAGGCAACCCTTCTTTACAGTTTGGACAGAGTACTGGAATGAGCCCCCTGGATGTGATCAAACTTAACAAACTCTATAACTGCAGTAAGCATTTACCCCAAATGAGCTGTTTTAATTTCAAAACCATTGTTCATGTAATACCTTATCTTATAATTGTCCAAAATTCTGTATTCAAATTTAAAAAACAACCTTTCTGCCACCTTAGATGTCTGCCGGACAAAACTAACAAATCTATCAGGGTCTTTCTCAAGTGATGATGTCTCATTTGGACAAGATGGGAGTTGCATCTGGTTCATTCAGACTACGGGTTTTAAACTGGTTGGTATAAAACTAATGGTATCAAACACAATGTCTTCTTTACAAGTATTGTTATTGGATTACCATTACATAGTTCTGTATTATGATGGGCATTTACACTCTTTTCAGAATAAAGTTGCTGTCAAGATAATTTAATATATATATATATATATATATATATATATTTAAAATGCTCATAACAGAAGTCGCCATGAAATAAAAATCCTCCTAACATAGCTACATAGCACATTGTGAATCCTGATTATATATAATAGTCTGGTTTATTGTATTATTGAACTTTACAAACCCATTGTAGATTGTAATCTTGACCTATTCACACCTCTCAAATTGCTTTTTTCTGTACCCAGGTTCATCTTCAGCTCAGTGACGTTAAAATCCCTACTTCAGCTGGATGCTCTGACAGCTATATAAAGGTCTATAATGGGAACAGTAAATCTTCTAGTGTTCTCCTGGACAAGACTTGTGGAGATATAATAATCCCACCACTTATTTCTATTGGGAATAGCATGCTAATAGAATTTGTGAGCAATCAGGCACCAGCTCTTAGCAAATTTAGAGCTGTCTATAAGACAGGTAAGTTCCATCTTTATTAACACAAATATAGCACAACAAAAGCTAGAATGGAACCCATTTATGATAATGTATGATATCTTTAACATTATTAACTTGTGTAAACCGGTAAAAATCACTTTTTAGATACTACTATATATCTAATTTAGTAAACATTATAATTAATCACATGTATAGATCTTACATTATTTTATGAATGAAGGTTTCAGTTAAATGTTGAATTTGACCAAGAATAAAAGGTGATCTTCTATCATGGTGACATCTGTAAGAGATACCATTATCAGTAGTGTGCAAGCAGTGGTTGGTGGCGGTGTGACAGGTAGAAGGGAGTGCATAGAACACCCTCGTCTTGCCTGCCATTATTTGTAGCATGGCCGTATGGGACCCAGTTAGAGGATTTCTAGCAGGGATGGTACTCTCTTACAGGCAGTGGAGTGGAGTTAGGCATCCACTGCCTGATAAAAGCTACTCACAGAGGGGAAGCAGAAAGGAGTCCCAGCACTAGATACCATAGATTGTACTTCCAACCCTCCCCCACCCTTCCAGGTGCCTATACATGTAAGGAGCAGGAGAGGGAGACTTGGTGAATGTGTGTCTATGACTGTATATGATTGTGGGTGACTGTGTGTATAACTGTTTCTTTAAATCTGTGTATGTGATATCGTATGGGTGTGTTGTAATGGTGTATGATTCTTGGTGGGGGAATTCCTAATCCGATCGGGGCACTTTCCGTACATGCTCATTAGCCCCCCTCCCCTCCACCTCCCTCCGCCGGGTAATGTCGGTGAAGGAGTATCGGAGGCAAAGCCAGAACCAGTACCAAGCAACATCTGAGCTGGCATCAGGTAAGTGATAAAGGGATTTTGAAACCCCTTCAGCACCAGGGGGGGGGGTGCATGGGGAATTGGGGCACTAATGAGAGCTATAGTGCTAGGAAAACAACTTTGTTTTCCTAACACTTTAGTTTCTCTTTAATTCCATCTTCCAGAGAAAATAATGCTGCATATGCATACCAGGACAGACACTACACCCACTTTGAAACTGCCAAATGGAATATTGTGCTTTATTAAATTGTCTTTTTTATCCTACAGTTTCTTATGGAGGAACTTCAGTCAAGAGCAGTGGAAGAGTCATGTCTCCAGAATATCGCATGGGATATCCTAACAATGTAGATGCTGAATGGTCCATCATAGCTCCACCACAGTCTAAAGTAAGATCAAACACAGTAAAATATTGTATCAGTACAAATTAGAATGAGGTAAAATATGTTCTGTAGAAATCAAAAATATAGAATACTTATAAAGCAAGTCTTATTTATTTTGTCATACATAGTTTTATAAAAACAAATATTCAAAAAGTGGAAAATAGTACTAATAGTATAATATTCTATTATGTCAATGAAGGCACTTAAGAATGATCTCATTAACTTAGGATGGGTCATTTCTTCTAGGTACATCTTCAATTCTTTGATTTCCGGCTGCCAGATTGCTCTGATTGTTCCTGTGACTCTCTGACTATAATTGATGGAGCCAGCACCACTTCTCCAATCCTCGGCAAATACTGCTATATTAACGTACCTAACTCTTTGACATCTTCTGGAAATGTGATGATATTGAAGTTTCACAGTGATGATAGCCAGACATTTGAGGGTGGTTTCTATATTTCATATAACTTTGGTAAGTGCCAGAATTTAAATATCGGTTACAAAAATGCAGCACAGCAGTGAGTGAGGTCTTCATAATGAGCCTTTGAATTATTCCTTGCAGTATATTAATCTCTTAAATAGAAATTTCTAAATATTTTTCAATTTTTTTTCATTATTATCCTAGTTTTGGATAGGCAGCTATATATTTTATATTATTTATGTTTGCACAGATGTGTTTCTCCCCTCTCTATTAAGATGGGCAAATGTATTGTCATTTACTATAAAACATAGACTGTTGTCAGTGGTTTGCAATAGTTAACTGGTTGAAGTCAGAAAAAAAAAAAATACTTTTGCTATTAAGTAGACTTGAGCATGGTGAGAATTTTCAATTTACACCCAAAATTCAGTTGATGTCATTTCGGCCAAATGTTGATTTGGGAACCGAATCAGAAAAATAAACCAAAAACGTGTGAAAATGGACCAATTATTGTCCTACAACATTTTCCCACAATTCAGTTCACATATCTGAGAAAAATCAACATGTAGAGGGAAAAACAAGAGAAGCAGTAAAAATAAATCTATATTTATATATTTTTTCAAATATTGTATATCTATTCAATATAAAATATATAAGTAATTAAACATAGTTCTGTTTTTCTCCCGCACTTCCTATTTTCCATCTATTACTCACTTCTTATTTGATCTGTAAATAAAATCAACATTAATGAGACCAATCAAATATTTTCCAATAAATCATCAATTTTTTTTGGAGCTACAAGCGAATTCAGACTATTGACCACCCCCCAAAACATGTTCGGCATTGCGCATTTCGGTTAGTCTGTAACTAGGAATTTGGGAATTCTGACGAATTCTGGTGCTAAGTGCCTCTAGATCATGGGCCACAACATCTAAAGTGCTGAAGCATATCTACCACTGCTTTAGATCATGTTCTTTCTAATGTCTCATGGCAGCTCTAACCTTCTCTGTTTTGCAGTGTGACGGGCAACTGATATAGAAAATGGAGAGAGAAGATATTGAGACCATCATGAAATCTTTATAAATAAAATGCTTATAAATGCAAGACAAATATCCATATGTACATTTTGAAGTGTTATCCATGCAGTAAATACAAATGATAATAAATTATACAACTAGGAATTTTTTTTGTAGTTTTTTTGCTTATTTTTCAACTTTGCCCCAGGAAGGAAAGACGAGTAGTTTTTGAAACAGGGGTAAATTAGTTGTCATTTTCTAACTGAAACCACCCACATTATCACCCAGTTGTATTTTCTTAATCTTAAAATGGATACAGATATTGAATTAACTAATAGAGTACAATAACGTAATGCAATCTGACATAGCTAATAGAGTACAATAACGTAATGCAGTTTGACATATCTATTTTTATTAAATTTTTTATTTAGTTCACTGCTCATGAACAAAGCCCTTAGAACAGGCTACTAGCAATTTTTTATTCTCTGTTGCCAATGAATATGAAGCCTTCCCTACATGGATACCTCTGTCTTTTCTCTGTGATTTTTGATCGTTCCCTTTGTTTTTCTTGAATAACCCTAACCTCAAATGTCCATAGATACACCTCCCTATTCCTTAGCTTTATTGCAGGCCCATCTGCTCTAATATTGCTCTCTCTCCTAGTCTGAATTAAAAAGTTATATAGCCCCAGACCTGTGATGTAATCTTCAATCCTGTCTAAATAAACTCAAGAACCTACCATGGCACAGATTAAGTCTAATCCCAGATCTTGACTCTGCAATTGAATATTTTCATTTATCATGCCCCGCTGCGTAAAGTGCAAATAAAAGGGACACATCTGCCGTGGGTTACAGCTGTGTATATATACAAAATTTAGGGTTCTTGCAGATAGACCTATAGAAAAAATTATGATAACATTGTGCAATATTGTCTAATACACTCACAGGTAAAGCTGTTTTAAATGCCTTAAAGGTGTCACCCTCAGTTGTAATAGAGGCTTAAAATCCTCCCTCGTACTCCTCTCTGGACTGGTCATTTTAGTCACCACAAACGATTAACCAGATAATTCTTCTATAAAAGGTATTTTTATGGTATAAAAATAAAATATTTGGGGGGGCGTGGCTTGGTGTCAAACAAGAATGGCGGCTTGATTTCAAAGCTCTAAGCTCTGCTGCTTAAATCAGCTTCATCCTGCAACTAATACACCCTCATGGGTCACACACAGCGCTTACACATGACCCCCTCAGCACCCAGGACACAAACAAACACCAGGGATCCTCGCATCACAACACAAGGCCTCACATATGGCACCATCTTCCCCAGGCTCCTTCGTCTCGGAAGACAGTCAGCAAACAGATGTCGGCGCACGGGACAGAGCTTCCCCAGACTGATATGCACTTTTTGCGTCGCTCTCCAAACGATAGTGCAGGAGGTAAAATCTACTCGCTCTGCACCTCACTGACAAATCTTGAAGGGAGGGTAAAGGCCCTAGAGGCAGCAGGGCCTGAAACCACGTGTTCCGCACTCCAGACTGTGCACACACATGCCAGACAACTCACTGACCTGCGGCTCCATGTTGAAGACCTAGATAGCAGGAACCGCAGGCACAACATCAGTGTGAGAGGGCTGCACGAATCACAAGGCCCAGAAAACCTGTGGGACGCACTGATCCCACTGTTCAACCTTATCCTGAACAGAAGCATGCCTGTATATAGACAGAGCACACAATGCCCTCTGCCCGAAACCACCACCCGAAGCCCCACTGCGTGATGTTATCTGTAACATACAAGACTCCCAACTAAAAGATAGCATAATGAGAGGGGCAAGAATGAAGATGTCCTGGATGTTTGGAGACCAGACTGTAGAATTATACAATTATCTCACCTCACCCTGCAAACACATCGGTGCGGAAGGACTGGACAGGGGAGCGGTCCCACCACACCAAGCTAACTCCGGAGAATAAGGGACCTTAGAGACCCAAGAGACTTGCTTTGCAACTGCCTGCTGTAATACCCACACTCCACCAGGCATGAAGGAGGCCTGGAACACATATATCTGCAAGACGGATAACGTGACTCTCACGAAATGGCTACAAAAACTATATATATAATTTTTTACTTTGTTTTTTTTTGTATTTTTATTAAAAAAACATTTTTTCTCTTTTTTTCTAAAGCATGTACAGAGACTTGCACAGGCAAAGGCCGCACAGATTGTCGAAAAATCTCTCATCAACATCAGCTATATGCTACGAGCCACCTGCTGCTAACAGATGTGGTATGCAAGTAATCTTTTTTTTTTTTGTATAAATCTTTATTTTTAAACAAGAATAAGTTACAAATATCTCATACCAAAAAAAAAAAAAACGACAATAAATATCTAACATTCAATCTAAACATTTACTTCTAAACATACACCATTCATACACAAAAAGAGTGGGATAAGGACACAGCATACGTAGGAAACATTATATGTCTCTTATTCTTTAACAGCTCAATAAACTGAAGTGAGTTAGTGAACTACTCCTATATTTCTATAATCTTCTATAATTTGTAAACACTTTATTCCCATCTCATATTTCTGTACATTGTCTTTCCCCCTATATATACCTATCTCATTCTTGATCTGGAACAACAGCTGTTTCTCCCAATGTTTACAATCAATTACCATAGCATTTTTCCAGCTTCTTGCTATCAGAATCTTCACTGCCATGAATGAATAGTTAAAAATTGTTGGTATAATGATATATCAGGCCAGTGGAGATGTAGAAGCGCCGAAGTTGGAGATTGATCTATCAAAATTTTATCCCAGACATATAATCTTCTGAAAACCTCATCCCATAGTTTCTTAATTAATTTGCAACTCCAGCAGATATGGATAAAGCTTCCAATTTCACTCCCACATCTCCAACAAATATCAGACTCATTATGGTCAATTCTATTTAGTCTGCTTGGCACTAAATACCAACGGTAGCATATTTTATAATGCGTCTCAAACAGAATCGTATTATGAATATTTTTTTTTAGCTTTACCATCATATTACCCCAGCTCGTGAAATCAATCCTTAAGTTACATTCCTTTTCCCATCTTTTTATTTGTTTAGACATTATGTCTTTAGGATCCGATCTTATCAATGCATAGCAATTAGCCATATTTTTCCTAGGACTTTCACTTCCAAAAATTTGCTTTATGAGACCACTGCTTGTTGTATTTCCCTTATCAAGGGATCTCCCTACAAAGGACTTTTTTTTTAGATAACGAAAGGCCTATTATTATATCGTCCAATGTTTGAATATCCCGATCTTTCCAGGCATCTATTTTTAAATCGGGTATTAGAACCTCCAATAATTCTATCTCCATAGATCTAAAAATATTACCCCAATTTTTTTTTTCCTTTTCATAAACCAATTATTAAATAAATGATTTAGAATTATATTTTTAACTTCCTTCCCAGTATTCTTGGGTTGCCAAAGATACTTATTTAAATCCTTCTTATTCAATAATTGAGTCTCTAGTCCAAACCAACCAGTTTTTTCAGAATCTTTTTTGCCCAATAACTGGGTATGGTATATAATGGTGTCTTACAATATTTGGGAAGTTTACCCCTCCTTGCCCTATAGTATTCGTTATTTGGTATAAACTAATCCGAGGCTTTTTCCCTTTCCAAATAAAATTCTTAAAAATCCTTTGTATTATCTCCAGCCATGGTAAGGGGATTTTTAAGGGGACCATTCTTAAAAAGTAGGTCCATCGTGGAACTATGTACGCATTTATTATGTTTATCCTTCCCATCCAACTAAAAAACAAATGATTCCACTTTTTTAACGATATCCCGGTGGATTTCAATAGCCTTGTAAAATTAATCTCTATCATTTTTTCTAACTTATCCGATATTAGTACACCCAAATATTCAAAGCTACCGTTAGCATCCATAAAACCATATGTCTTTATAAATTCATTCTTCCACTCATTCTTACAATTTTTAAACATCACTATTGTTTTTTCTGTGTTTATCTTATAATTTGAAATATTGCTGTATGCTTCTATTTTCTTCATCAAGTTATTGACCGATTGAGTAGGATCTATAAGAGTCAGAATTGTGTCATCTGCATACATACCAATTTTTAGGTCTCTATCAGGTGTTGGTACCCCCTTAATATCAGGATTATCTCTTATTCTGATGGCAAGACCTTCCATAGATAGAATATATGATATTGGTGACAACGGGCACCCTTGTCGCTTGCCATTTTTTAATGGAAACCAATCTGAGCATAAGTCTATACCCACCACCCTCGCCATCGGATTTTGATAGATAGAGCCTATAGCTGTTAACATCCGGCCATCTATACCCATTGCCTTCAGAACCCCCATCATAAATCCCCACCCGACCCTGTCAAAGGCCTTTTCTGCATCCAGTGACAGGGTCAGGAGGGGAATCTGCATTCTATCTCCCCAATCCAGAACGTTAATCAGTCTTCTTATATTGGTATCCACTAAGTCCATAACTATTTTTTTTAACCTATCAGCCAGTATGGATGAAAATAATTTTGAGTCCACATTGATAAGCGAGATTGGACGGTAGCTTTTTAGTTCTTTAGTTCTTTTTTATGGATTGGGATTATATTTACGTGTAATAGATCTTTTGAGCCTATACCTTTCAATGAAATTTCCTTATATATTTTAGTTAAGTGTTCTACCAAGATATCTCCATATAATTTATAGAATCTATTGGTCAGACCATCTGGGCCAGGAGTTTTATATCTCACAAGTTTCTTAATGGCAGCTATAAATTCCATCTTTTGCAGGGGGGCATTTAATATTTTTTTTTGTTCCTCTGAAACCTTTGGAAAATGTATTTCCCTCAAATACTATTTTATTATCTCCTCTTTTGGTTGATTAGGTAAATTGTACAGATCTTCATAATATATTTGAAAAGCTTTGGCTATACTTTCTGTTTTTTTTATATAATATTGAATCCTTTCTTATACTACTAATCCTATTCTTATCGTTTGTTTTCTTAAGTTTTTTAGTTAGCCATTTATTGATCTTATTATTGTCATAATAAAAGTTTACTTTCATCCTCTCCAAATTTTTTTCTATTCGTTCTCTTTCTATTTTCTCTATTTTCGTTTTAATCTCTAAAAGTTGTTTGAATGAATCGCTAGTTAGCAACCTTTTATTTCTTCTAGCCAACAAGTAGTATTCTATATATAATTTTTCTCTGGTCTGACCTCTTTCTCTCTGAATCTTTTTTTAAGTTTAATCAAATACCCCCTCACGACCGCTTTAAATGCACACCATATTGTTGCTGCCGAAAGTTCTTCCGTGTTATTCTCTTTGAAATACCATTGTATCAATTCCCCAATTCGTATTTGGTCTGCCTTATTATTCAGAATATTATCATCTAGACGCCAAGTCGTATTGGGTCTATATTTTTTATCAGCTTTTGTATTAAAAATAATGTAGCTATGGTCTGACCATATATTCTCTTCTATATATATATCTTTTATTTGGTCTACTAGGTTTGCTTCGCCCAATACAAAATATATTCTAGAAAGAGAAGAATGTACTTTTGAGTTATATACTCTCCATATGTCTAATAGGTTGTTTTCTTGAAGTATATTTCTCAATATCCTAGCTTGATTTATCAGATGTTTAGTTATTGGTTTATTATTTTTAGTTTTTTTATCTAGATCTGTATCTAGCACACAGTTAAAATCACCCGAAATAACTAGTAGCCCTATTTTAACCTTATCTACTTTTTCTATGATCATTTTAAAATATTTAGTTGGTAGTACATTTGGAAGGTATATATTTACCAAAGTATAGACTTTCTCCTCCATCTTACATACTAATATCTGATACCGGCCCTCTATATCTACTTCTTCATATATAACTTCTTTATTTATTCTTTTCGAGAAGTTTATAGCCACCCCTCTTTTTTTTTTTCCTATTTAAAGACGCTTGTGAGATTATTTCATACCCCTCGTCTTTCCACCTTATCTTATCAACTTTATTCCAGTGTGTCTCTTGCAACATCGCTATATCTATTCCTTTTTTTTTTAGCAGTTCCTTCAACATAATTCTTTTATAAGGGGTATTTAACCCCTGAACATTTGGTATGCAAGTACTCTTAAGTGTATATAAATATTGTCTCACCTATGCAAAACTAATGGGGGATAGACCTAAGTCTAAAATTGCATGAGGGAGGGACGAGGGGAGGAATGGAGAAGCGGGGGGGAGGAGGAGGAAGGGAAACCAGAAACAAGCCTGACTCGGATATGCAACAGATATAAACTCGACTCGGATAGCACACTCGCGCATAGAGCACACTGACTCCCTAGCTCTGACAGATGACAACAAAAGCGATGCTGGCACCACTGGTAGTCTCGGAAAGTTGCACAATCCAGCTCACACACTATGACACACGGTCTACCCTGATCCACCCACACAGCCTCAGACACCACAGATGCCACTCATGCATGGGTGCGTACATATATGAATATGTTTAGAATTACCGTCCGGAGAAAGCCCAGACACCCCACACTATCAACCACGACTGCGGGGGTGCTGGACAGCCCACGCGGATATAGAGTCACTATATACACAGCTTAAACCTACAAAACAGCTCATACTCCTCTGACCTCACCAAAATGTTTATTTCCATTAACTCAATTTTTTTTATCTCCTCTACGCTACCCACATCACCTCCTAGAGGAGTAATACTCAGTCTTACTCAGGCCACAGGTAGTAATTAGTACTAACAAGACAAG